CCGGCTGCCCCTCTGCCAGGGAGCGCCTTGGCCCTGCCCACCGCCTCGCGGCGCGGGATGGGCTTTGTCAGAGGAGTCCCACGGGGAGGGGAAGCCGGCACAGGCTGAGCGAGCTGGAACCAGCAGCCTTGTCTGCCCTCCCGTGGTTAGAAGGATGATAAGGCTCTCTGTGCGCGGCTGCAGGAACTGTTCCTAGCAGGCTGATGTAGTGGCCTTATGTTACACACTCTACGAGTGCCTCTAACAACTTGTACTATATAGAACCTTCTTCAGTGTCTGGGTCATTTCACCAGCCTGGGCTTTGTTTTATGTAGGTTCTTGTACCTAATATTTTAGGTGCACATCTGTCCTTTAATGTACAACGTGTATTTTTATTTCCTTGGAACATCTTTATATTATTTAATTTTATAAAGTGGAGTAGCGTGTGGCATAGAGTAGCATTTTTACTACTTCTCTCTTTCTTTATTTTTCCCTCCCTAACAACACAACTACCTCATGTCTGTTGGAGAAAAGAAGCAGTAGACCTTCTCTTTTGTTATAGTCCATTATAGGTTTTAACTTATTCTTATACTGCCTTTTTCTAAAGAATATGTTTGCACTGGTTGTTGACTCTTTTTTTAACGTGTCGTGCTGCAGAGCTGATGTCTCTCTTGCTTTGTTTCTAAGTACTGCTGTAGGACACCTTCCCTACAGCTGGAGAGCTGGGTCGTGTTTCTCTGTAGGACTGTTTTGCAGGAGCTTGCCAAAGGAGACAGCTTCAGCTGGCGGGATGTTGATCCATCTCTAACAAGCTTATACTAGCAAAGAGAAAACAAGAACCAAAAATTGCAAAATTAACATGTCATCTTGGGGGAAAATGAACAAACAAATGTCAAAAGTAACTCATGATCTTGGGAATGTCTGTGTCTTTTTTTCTTTCTGCCCAAGTGGAGACATCTCAGATGATTTTGATTTCCAGGGAGCAGCTGTCAGCCTTCTGTAAAGCAGTGGACTATGCTGAAGGCGTTGGATGAACCTGTGAAGTTTTCCAGTCACTTCTGCAAGTCCTGGCCAAAGTACTTTTGGGTTGGTTTTTTTGAAGAGCAGAGCATCACCAGAGCTTAAAAATTAAAATCAAATCTTTGGTCTCATACCAGTCAGTCTAGTTTGAAAATTGTCCAGTGACTCTTCCTTACTGACATGTCTCTCAGCCTGGCCTACAGTGGGGTGAGCTTTTCTCCACCTTTCCTTTAGCCTGTCTCTGCCCTGTTCCAGCTTGCAGAGTTTGACTGTGAATGCTGCACGTTGGACCAGCTCCTCAGGGGGAACAGGGATTGGTAATTCTTTTCATTAGGGGTTTGGGAAATGTTCTGCCTTCCTGGAGGGTTCAGAGACCTGGCCATTTGTATAAAAAATAAGGGTATACCCATCTCCCTCTTTTCTTACTGAAATCCCCCTAGACTTGCATGGGGAGCTGTGTGCTGACCTGGATCCTGTAAAAGACTTTAAATTTTGGGTTTCATAGTGAAATCTGGACTGAGTTACCACTGTTTGCACAAGGAGAACTCTCCTCTACCAGCACCCTGCCCGCACTTCTCTTGTGAAGAGCCCTGTGTTTGGAGCTGACCTGGACCAGCCTGTGTCCCTGAGAACCTCCATCAAACCCCGGTGGCTCCAGCTCTTCAGTAGCAGGGTGTCTCCAAGCCTCCATGTACCCTGTTGGGACAGATACTGGAGATAACACCTCTCCTCATCCTACTACATCTCCTCCCAGCATGAGGTTCTGGTAAATGGCTGAATTTCCAGTCACTGCACATTCTCTCTTGCTCCAGCTGCTGCTTGGTATCTTGAGGAGTCTCAGAAATGCTGTTCCATGCTCTGAAGCTCCAGGACTGTCAAAGGCTGTGGCATGGGCTGGAAGTCAGTGCCAGGGAGCAGGCTAGGCAGGAGTTAGAAAGGAGAAAGACAAGAAATCACAACTGGGCAGAGGAAGTGTGTAAATAACCCCCAGAACTCGCTGCCATGAGACTTTGAAACTACTGACTTTGCAGGGTTCCAGATAAGGCAGTAAGTGTTATTGCAGGCAGTAAGGGCAATTCACTGTGACGTGGGAGCGGATGCGACTGCAGAGGTGTAAACCCTCCAGCTGGGGAGTCTGCAGCTGGCCCTCGCTTTGCCATTTCACCAGAGAGCCCTTGTCCTTCCCCAGGGACAGAACAGACCCTCTGGAAGCCACAGTCTGCTGCCGTGCAGAAAGGGAGAAGGACCCTTCTCCAAAAACTCACCCCAGAGGAACCTCTGGTGGCTTCCTTTCACCTCCAAGAGGAAGCCCTCTGCCCACAAGCATGATGGCATGCCCAAGGACCACTTCTGCTGGTCTGACCAGGGCACCAGCCCTTCTCCTCCAGCTCAGTCCAATGCCTGGTTTAGGGGTGTGCCACAGTCTCTGGGAGCTCCCTTGTATGTGCACCCTCTTGCTTTGTCTGCACCAACTTGAGCAGTCATAGAGCCGTGGGGTGATCTGCTAACAGCTGTCCCTGGCCATTGCTAAAGCCAGCACAAGCAGGCACAGTGTGGCACCCGTTCCCTTGGACCAACCACAAAGCCACCAGGTTACTTGCATGCTCCAAGAGCTTTGGGGGACATGCAGCAGGGTGGGAACAGCTCTGTTACACATGACAAAACCACTTTGTCTCTTCACACCGAGGCTTGTTCTGATCTCGTTCCACCCACCAAGCTGTGTGAAACTGGCCGTGTTTGGGTGTCCCAGGACTGTGGTGGCCGTGGACTGGTACACCAGAGCTCAGCTACAGAAACCAAGGCAGTTCCCTCAGAGAGAAGAGATCAGTGCTGAGGGGCAGCAGTGCAGCTGTTCCTGCAGGAACCCGTGTCCACGCGGAGTGTGGGGTGTCCTCGTCTGGCTGGGCCGTGCCACAGGTCCCTCCTGTCCTCAACGCTCGTGGGACCTTTCTGGTCTCGCCTAGAAATGAATGGAAGAAGACAGATAATACACATTTTATGTGTAAAGCTGAAACAACCAGTGCATATATTTTTTTATCATGAAATAAGTAGCTTTCTTGCAGATTTCTCACAGACACACAAACTGTTGATACCTTTAATTACCCATCGTACTTAATATATGTTCCTACTCATCCTTTCTCCCTTCCCTTCCTTTCGGTAACACTAAAGATTATTGCTGTTCAACTTTTTGCTGGTGTATATTGTTTTACATTGTTAAAATGTCAGGTTTGTCTCACTGGCATAATTTTGTAGTATTAATGTTACCTTTTGGCTACACAACTGTATATTCCCCATGCTGCTGTGAGAGTCACAATTCTCATCTTTTTATTTCTTTTAATTCCTTGTTCCATGAAACACATCTCAAAGAAAAATCTCTTTCGACTTCTTGTTGATTTGATTTCTTGCTTAACAGACAGCAAAGTTCTGGTTGAAATAGCTCAAAGGAGATTATAAATTATCTAGGTTTTGAGAATTTTTTAGATTACTAGCTAACAATCCTGAGATCAGTCCATGAATTAACACTGTGTAAGAAAACAACCATTTTAACAGAGCACTGTATATCGTTTTGATCTCATGAGAAGCAGAGGTTTTGAAGGGATCGTTGTGTCTTTTCTAATCAATACTTTTGTTAGAAAAGAGGTTAGTCCAGCAGAAATCTCCCATCTCCTTCTGTTACTGTATTAAAATGAAGCTTCATTTGATTTTCTACACAGCACGTGAGGTTGTGTAACCAGAACTTGATCTCGTTTGAAGGTTGTGTCTGTGTTTGGTTCCATGCTGTACTTAATTGTAACTTTCTTTCTTCAGAGGCTGTTCTTACTCCACAAATACTCTTTAGTGTTAAAGTGTAAGAAGACATTGTCCTTATATTCCTTAACTAATGGGTTATTAATAAAATATTTTGAAAAAAGAGTGGAATTTGTCTCATGGTGCAGACTGTGACAGCTCTTCCTCCTCACAGCTCAAATCCAGCCTCCTGCTTACCCGAGTAACCCACTTCTGGATGGGTCTGAGCAAGACCTGGCTGTGGGCAAGACCCATGGCAACAAGGTGGAGCAGCTTCCAGAGCTGGGCTGTACCTCGCTCGTGGGCAGCAGCAGCAGCAGGAGGCAGGATTCATGCTCGTGCCAGGTCAGTGCCTGAGCTCCCAACTGTGGAGGTTGGAATGTGGGATGATGGTGGGTGCAGGATCCTTGGGGATCCTGCCAGGATTTCAGGTGTGGGCAGAGTTTGGCTTCATTAGGTGTTTCTCGATGCTTACTCATTTCCCAGGTTTGAGCCAACTCCTGTAAGAAAAAGGAAAAAATCCTTGTGCAGTTTCATGTGTGGTGAGACTCCTCTCAGGTGGCACACTGGGCCGGGTGCTTGGTGGCTTGCATCCAGCAAGACTGGGGAGAGGTTATCTGGCAGTGCCCGAGGACACCCGATTAACCTCCCCTGCATCTCCCTCTCTTCCTAGGATACGTTCCCTACTTCAGGAGATAGTTTCTATTATTACTTCACGCTGCCAGGGCTACAGAGCCATAAAATCTCATTTTATCTGCATTACAGCGGTAATAAATCTGCACTTGGCATAGCATGCACTGATAGTGGTTAAAGAGAG